CAGCTGGCCCTTAGGAAGGTCCACCTAGCATCTAATAAAACACTAAATCAGATAATCGGTTTCTTCACCGCAGCAGTTAAAAAATGTGCAGAAATAAATGTACAAAAAGTGTTGTATACTTCAGGCATTTTTAGGACTACTTATCTTAAAGAATATCCCATTCCCATTCAGTGACTTTAGTATGACCATTCTTTCTGACTTTTTAAGATAAACAATACATTTGATGCCAATGTCACAAGCAGAAGAAGCATATATGCATACTGCTCATGAGTCTAAACCAATGGCGTTATGAGCAGCCACAGGAACAGAATAAAAATATCACCAAATGCCTTTTCTCCATGACTTCTGAAAGATGGCTCTACTTACACTCAGCAGGTGATGATGAAGTCTTTTGCCTGATCATGGTATGCTGCTGTGTGTGAGACTTCAGGGACTGACTAAGAGGTGCTTACTGCTGTGCTAAAGGATTTTAACTTACTTAAAATCTGGGGCATAAAAGCCTTTTCCTTTTACTGACATACATTTTATTGAATTCTAAGCTGCATAATAAAGTTCATGGCTATTAAAATGACTCATTCTATATATTCATGTATACCTCCACAAAGAAGCACAAAACACTGTAGTAAGTTTTTTTTCTTAATTTCCTGCATTTTTATTTCTCTTTATATTTTCAGGAAAGAGAGAAGAAGATATACATTCTGTTCCGTAGCTATTCCATTATTCAAAAACTAGCCTTACTCTGTAAAACATGAATCCTGATTTTACAAAGTCAAGAAACCAATTCTGACTACAGTACTGAAGAAAAGACTTGAAGGGGAAGCCTCAACTCACTGGACACCTGGGATACGAATACTAAATGATATAGGGAGGTACAATTGTGAATATAGCCAACTGCACCAAAACCCCTAATAAGGCTTGTTCTTTTCTACAGATTGCTGCACACACTTCTCTTACTTCTCACCTTTGCTGTTCCATTTTAGACCATGAAACCCTGCACAGACTTGAGATGCCAAGCATGCATCCTAAGACTTTCCACAGGTTTCTGTGCTTCTTCCAGGCCCTTCATTGTGGTCAAATTGTAGCTGAGGTGGTCAAAAACTTGGAAAGAAGGGCCTCACAATAAAATAGAATAAGCTGAAAAGAAGCAGAAAAACTTTTTCAGCTAGAGATCTAAACAAGTTGGGTCTGCCTCTTTTAATGCAGATTTTGATCTCTTTAGCATCTTGCAAGCTACCAGTGCTGTTAGTCCAAGTCTGAAGAAAGCCTTGGGTTTGTCTACCAAGTTTTTCAGAAGTTGGCAGATAACAAGCTAATGTTTGCTACAATGACTCTTCTAAAGCTTTTCCTTAGGGACAAAGCCAGTCTTTCAGGCAATGCATACTCCCAAAGCTTCTGACATCTCGTAAAGAAGACTGTGACAAGCTGTATGGACCTCAGAGGGGAAAAAAGGAAAAGGTGGTATAACCATTTAATCCGATGGTGAAAAAAAAAGCTTTGGCTTAAGGAGTTGTTTCTGAAGAACAGCGTGGTTCTCTTCTCAGACGCATAGTTGGAAAGTCTCTATAGGGGAGCATTGGTGGAACGGACATTAGTTTTTCCTCATGGATCTTTCTAGTGAATATAATTTAGCTCTGGACAGCATGTGAGAGTAGAGCTTCTCGGACTAAGGCATGCACCAAGTTACCCAGTACCATGGATGGGAACCACCATGAGAATGAGATTGTGGCCATGACAGAAGACAGCAAGAAATGGCTCCTCCTTTTTCCTGCATCTAACATGATTCCTCAGCCCAAAATCCCAATATGCAAGACTGGGAAGGAGCATAACAAGAAAAAGCTCAGATAATCTTTGAGGGAGTTAGAAGACCCCAATATTGAAATGCTTAACACTGAAGCAGAAGCTTTTGCAGAGAGAATGAATCCCACTTGAAAGGTAAAGTTAAATCTCTGCTGCTATAGGCTTTGTAATGAATACTGATACCAAGTATAACAAACTAGAAATTGTTGTCACTGGAGTAGGAGATTTTATCATGACTTTTACTGAGAGGACAGCAATTCAAAAGACTGGAACAGCGTGCAATCGGAATTGGAAAGAAGATGTCAGAGAAAATATTCAAGGACTGTAGTGAAGGAAGCTAGTGACTGAATCATAAACACTATCAGGCTATCTGTAGATTAAGCCCTGAGCCTTTTTTTTTTTTTATTTAAAATAGGAGGAGACAAATGCCTCCTGCCTACCATATTCAAGAACATCCATGGCTTCCTTCTACAGTCCTGGAAGGATTTTTAGCACAACTTCCCTTTCACATGAAAGGTATAGGTATAAAGTTCTGCACAAGAATACAGTAGAGGGTACCTAAATTGGCACCTCAATAAACAGCAAGTCTCTCTAACATCAAAGAACACATTCAGTGCAGTGCACTGCAATGACTCAAGCAATAAGCACATCACATCTTGTCAAGTAACTGTCCTGCTGCAGTTATTTGCAAGCCCATGTTATTCACATGTGTCAATTAAAAATGTCTAAAAGGCCCTTTTGCTGTTAGACTCCATGTTGTTTTATGTGAATCTACCATTTTTTCAGAAACAACCAGTTTCTTTCATTAATGTTACTTGTAATGTGTAGGCACAATGCTTACTTTCTGAACAATTTGTGACATAAAAGAGTCCCCCTCATCAGAATCTGTTGCTGTTAGCATCTAAAAACAGCACCGATCTCAAACCTTCATCCTTCTGTTTCTATAGTGACTCGCCACCTAGACAGATTCCACTGCACTTCCACATTGTCTCTTCTTTTCTCTTTCCTCATAAGAACTCCGGCTACTCAGTTTCTTTAAGAGAAAAAAAACCCACATTCTCTCTTTCATTAGAAGATGTCAACTGGAAGACCCCACCATAAGTCTGTGGCTTCCTGAGTAAAACTGAATAGCACAAGTCTAAATTATAGTTGCCGTGCCTAAGCAGCACAGGCCTCATGCATCATTCTGCAGCCAGATGTACTTCCTTCTCGCCACTGAAAATACCCCCACTGTGATCTGTGTGCAAACTGGCCATGTGTAAGACTTTGCAGGGATCTCCTTGTGTACCAGCTAGGTATGGTGTTCACTCACTTGTTTTTTAACACTCTAACTTCCAAGGAATTAACATATTCACTCACCTTTACATATACAGAAAATGACAAGGTCATAATATGTTTGAGGAAATATTTTGATAGACTTCTTTAAAGCAGCTATTACAGTGCACAAAAGGAGATATGTACTTTTATTTACCCAAAAAACCCCAAACAAACCCACAAGGTATCTCCCCCTGAATTTGTTCTCTTAATCAATGTAACCTGAAGATCATTCATAGGTATGGTCTGCTGGAAGTTCTCAAGATGCAGATTAGGTGGGTCTTTTGGCCTACATACCCAGCTGACTGTTCTCATTCAGGAATGAAATGACTAGGAAAGTGTTCCAAAACCAGGAAGTCTAATGCATTAAATGTGAATTACTGCAGTTAATCAGGCTTTTCATTAGCATAAGGCTAGTTTATAAACTATTCTGAAATGTGACATTTCCAAAGGATCATATTCCAAATTTTTCAGCATTTAACCACCACTATGTGCTTATCCTATCAGAACCAACAAACTGAAAACCATGAAACAGCACTGGAAAAACAGAATTTGAAAGAAGCACGTGATTTAATTGCACCTCAGCCCTAAAGGCAATGACCGTGAAGTTCAAATAGTTAAGGTTTATCCTGTAACCACAAGAACACAAGGTGAAGGCTGTAAAACTAGTGAGCATTTTGACTAAACAACCTCACCTTCCAACTAGTTGGGACAACATGATGCATATTTTTTTATTTTTATAAGGACTTTCCATGAAAAGGGAATGGAAAGCAATCAGAGTGGCAGGCTGTGAGACCTGCTGACTGGTTGCACAATAAAGGCTGTGCCATTAAGTGAAACCCTAGGAGCTGCTGCATCTTGAAATACCATAAAACTGAACAACTTCTGTCTGGAGTAAATCTGATTGGTATTTCCCTTGAATACACGGTGCATTTGTCCCTGTAATCTATTTTAAAGAGTGATTGGCATCAATGCTGTTGTGGTTGCATTCATTTTCTTTAGGGGATTCATTAAACTACTAGTATTAACAGTTTGAACTTAGTTGTATTCTGGTAACATCCACCATATTGTTGGCACTGTCCACCCACATAAGAGAAAACTGACCTTTTTTAGAGTTTACAATCTGGGATTGGTGGAATGTTGCAACACTGCAATGAAAATTTGAGTTCAGAAATAATACATAGCATTGTGATTATCACATCAGTACCTACATTAGGGTACAATAAATCTTGGAAGGCCAGAAATTACTGAATCAAGATAAAAGTTCAAGATGCGTTAACCAGTACATTCTAGAAAGGAAGAACAGATCTTTCTTTTATTAAGACATTGAAATCTTGATTAATAAAGCTGGGGTTTCAATGATGCTGAAAGCAATTAGACAACGAGTTGCAAAGGGAGCTGCACATGTAAATTCCTCTGTCTTATTTGAAAATCCCAGCCAACAGCAGCAATCATATTTGGTTTAAATTATCCTATCATCATGGGAAACAAAACCATTAGTCTTTCATTCCAGGCAAGAATGAAGTGCGGGTGAGGAAGCAAACATTGTGGGAACATGGATGTCTGCAGGTGATTATGTGCGTGTGCTGAGCTAATAAAGAAAGTGAAGTTCAGAACAACACAGATAGCAGTGAAGGCAAACTAGATGCTGGAAGGATGACAGTGATTGTGCAGATTATGAGAAAACAATCAGAAGTGACAGTCAAACTTCATCCTCTGGAGGCAAAGACGAAGCCAGTCTGTAAAGAATACCTTACGATCCACTTCTTTTTGCTGAAGGGATTTTTTGGGGTGGGGAAACAACACATGGTTTTCTTTGCTGTGTTCTGCAGTTTTCCAAATCCATCCTATTCATCTGTATGTCGGTAACATATAAATATGCTACTTACTCCCTCATGCGTTTCAGTTTGGTCTCTGCCATAATGCTGTTGAGAGCTCTGAATCCCTGGGGTGCCCCTGGAGACACTCTGGTGACAGTCCCCGAGCCTATAAATCAATGCACAGACACATAACCTTACTCACCTTCATCCCCTGAGCTCTACTGCAGAGTCAAGGGCAGTCAGAAAGAGGAAGACCTTGTTTCTCACAAGGTAGTGCCACATTAATTAAAGATGAATTAGATTATTAGATGCACATTAAGGGCAACTCCTTTCTGAGGCACAAGTAGATTCACAGTTTAAAGGCACCAGAATTGTAACAACAATTTTCTGTCTGTGTAGAGTACAGGGAATGAAATTACAACAGAAAGAACAGTCACTTGAGGAAGTGCTGGGACAGATAAATATTCAACAAAATGAAATTTGCTTAGACAATATGTATTTTCCTCCATTGCTCTTGCTCTTATATAAATAAGAGCAAGAACCTTCTTCCTAACAGGCAAGTCTCTCCATTAGCTTGATTGTTACTGTAAACTGAAAGTTTTTAACTTATTACATCATCTTCCCCTTCATTCTTTTTCTGTATTCATACCTTTATATGTAAATACCTACATACATATATGTGAGAAATATACATAAGCATATACTCCTCATCCCTGGAGGGGTTCAAGGCCAGGTTGGATGGGGCTTTGACCAACCTGGTCTAGTGGAAGGTGTCCCTGCCCATGGCAGGGGGGTTGGAACTAGATGATCTTTAATGTGCCTTCCAACCCAAACCATTCTATGATTCTCTGATTTATTTATTGCCAATTATTGCCAATTACTGCTCCAATTGGAAGACAATTCTGGAGCCTCTCTGTGAGCTGGTGGCTAAAATCTTGCCTCTAATTTCCCAATGAAACTTCTTTATTAGCCAGTTCATGCTCATTTTTCTACTGTGCCAGTCCTTTTCTTTGGCTTAGTCAGTTCTTCCCTTCTGTTTTGCATAATCCTTTCATTTATTTATAATTGGAAAAATAGATCCTACTTCAGCTTTCAATTTGCTATGCTAAACAAAGCAGCTATTTTGGTTTCTTCTTGCAAAATATTTGGCATTAGGATTTCACTTCCCAAAAAAGAAGAACATGAATCACGGTGGAATTATATCCTGTGCAAATGTGCAGGCTGTGGAAAACAGCGCCCAAGTTCTGAACAGACACAGGAGTGCTCTGCATAGGATATGAACAAACCAAAAGCCACACAAACACATTAACACAATGCCCTGTCTAAATGAACACAGTCTCCCTTCCTAGCAGGCATTTTTATCTTGAACTCAGTTGAGGTTTAGTTTGGATTGCGTTAACAGTGATCACATGCAGCCATAGGGAGCTTGCAGCTACCTTCCTGCTATGAGCAGTATAGACACCCCCAGAGAGTACTGAATGCTTCCCTGGAAAGCATAATCATGGCTTTCCCAGGAGTTAAGCTCCTATGTCTTACATGATTCTAGATTGTGATCACATAAGGTTGAATACTGAGATTAAAAGTTTCTGTCATGTGGGATCCTACTGAATCACTCACAGTGTCTGCTGGATTCAGAGCTTTGCTGGATTCAGAAGATATGAAGCAGGCACGGAGAGAGACCACAGAAGAAATGGATTCCTGACTCTGTTATCTGGCTACGGACAAAAGATTTGACTTTTAAAAACATTTTCCTAACTTCTCTTTACGCCTAATGGCTAACAGTTGTCTGGTGTCTACGTATTACAACTGCAATATAGTTAATGTAGTTTAAATATGAAAAATGACAAGCACTGTTCTTACTAGCAACCAATAACTTCACCCATTGATGGAAAAAACAGTTCCTGATCATTTACTGTAATACTACACACGCATATCCATACATTTTTACATGGGATCTGCAAGCATTCGATTGCTTTAGCAGCATTGGAAAATTCAGCTGTCCTCAGGGTGGCCCTGAGGAAACCCCAAGTGCTGTGGAAAGCAATGCTTATGACTTACTGGGTGGCATGCTCCTCTTGGAGTTGGCATAGAATTAAGGTCCAGATGTGGGGCTTTGGGGCTTTGAAAGCAATAAAAAACTGATGCCCTGAGCACCTATGGTCTAAGGAAAATATAATCTTTGCATTCTCTCAAAGAAGAGTACATTTAACCACAGGCCTCTGCTGAATTCTGGTATTACTACTATTAGAGCATACATCACTGTAGCAAGAGCTCAGCATACTCTTTCTGCTTAGTGGGTTCAATCTATTTATTGCTACAATATCCCCTTCTGCTCTGACATTTCATTATTAAAGACATCCTTCTTTTTTTTTTTTTCTGGGATTCCAGGCTAAATAATTTGTACTTTGTCTACTCTCCACATTGGCAGTTGGCCAAGCAAAACTTATTCTCTACACGCAAACTAGTATCTATCTTCCTCTCCATTTAATATGATTTTCTGGGTACTATGAGACAGTTGCAAGGACTACAGATTGTAGGATGCTGCAAAGGTGTGGTTAGTCATAAAAAAATGAGTTCTCAGTGAAAACTGCTGAGAGCTTTTCACGTGGTTGCTACAGGCCTCAAAAATTTTTCCTGGGGTGATTTATAACCCAAACCAACTTCTATATCAGAGCTATTTTCTTAGAAGCGGTTACTTGTTTAATAATATGTTTTGCAGCCAGCTTTGAGCAGCCTGCCTACCCATACATCAACACAGAACAAGGAACTATGCTTCTTCAAAAATAGGCCAGATAACTATTTGCATTTTTTATGCAATATATCATTCTTGGTTCATTAAACCAAATCAAATGAATCAACAAAAGCACTGACTTTTCAAAACCAGGTATTGTGCCTTTCTAAATGTATTTCAAAGACGAATACCCTCCCAGTGTCTAGCCCAGTACCACAGAGAACAACATAGGGCAAAAGATCTTTGTCATCTCAGGTCATGGAGTACCAGTTTGAGGTTCTCACCGCATTCTTCCTACTTGTTGAGGGGAAGATGAAAGAAATCCTCTGGCTGACATTTATTCACAGGTACTTACATTTAAAATGGGTGATTATGATTATCTGGTGAGACTTTTCATACATTATGGCCCAAAGGCATTCCTACCAACATTTCTGCTAACAACCGAATCATTGGTGACAGACATCTACTGCATCTCTTGGTAAGCCATTATGTGTTGTGAAGCTGTATCTCCACTGAATGATAGACTTCTGTCTATGAACTTAATTCTAATTAACTAACTTAATTCAATTAATGTAGAGAAATACAGGCCTGGTACAACAGCTGATGCCTTGAAAAGTGGGGACAAAGGATGAGGTGTAAAGGATTACGGACTTGCGATAACAAGAGGTGTGGGGCACAGGCTGGCACTGGGAATCCCATGGCTATAACCAATATGCTAGTGATCAGTTAAAGAAATTCAGACCTGGAAGTGGACATAGCTAGCTTTAGGGTGAAAAAAGAGAACAAGTATCTAATCTATGTAAAATGCACGATATACAGAAAATTTTGATGTAACGTGAATTTGCAGCCCAGTGAAGAAAAAGTAAGGTATAAATGAATGTTAGCAAACACATAAAAAAGGTCCGACCTGCAGCTTTATAGCTTGACATTAGAAGAACTTAAAATAGTAAACATTTAAACTTCTGCAGTGACCCTGAGCATACAAAGATAAAAGGGACCCTAGCAGATTTCTCTCTTATTATTATCACATATATTTGTTTGGAACAGAACATGCAAACGTAATTACAAACTCAGCTTGGAGAAAGGCTTTAAGTTTAGCACAGACTTGTTAGAGATTTTTTAATGGTTAAAGCACAATTTAATTCTTTAATATTATAATTTTTAAAGGCATCTTCTTGTTCTTAATACTGAAAGAAAAAGAGGAAGACAAGAGTCTCTTTATTACTAAGATTTTTTTAAAAGTAGCACTAATACCACACTAGTTTTTGGCTTATACTCCGGGTTATTCTCAGAAGCCCTCAAGGCAATTCCCCTTTTTCATTAAAATGACAAAATATTGAAGCATAGCGCTAAATTGTGTCCCTATTGCCACTTCTGCAAACCCACTGAAGACAATGATGCTGCAAATGCATAAATGAGTGCAGAATTTGAAGAACGTGGGATCTCCATTAGTGTGAATACAGATTGGGCGTGAATGTTCCTTCCTTCAGTCCTAAGGATCTCCCTGATGTGGGACCCAGAAGGTGACCAGATATGATTCAGTTTTCCCAGGTTTCCCCTACATTATCATGTCAGAGCCACAAGATAATACTAAGTCAGGTTTATCCCAACTGAACGAGGGTAAATTTGGCAGCTAAGCAAGACCGTGGTTCCTGTGGGAGCCTTCAGGATCTCAGCTGGGCTTTCATGCAAACCGCACTCAGGCTGCTACTGGCACAGTTCAACCTGGTGGTCTTCAAAGGGCAGTGACTACACCAGCCTCAGTAAATAGCCTTCTTTCATTTAAGTTTTCTATTTAGCTTTTAAGTAGAACACAAGAAACCAGGCTTTCAAACTCTAAATTTATAGAGAGAACTTGCAGGAGATTTTAGGATTAAATTGCAAACTTAAATTCTCAGTGATTTTTCTGCACCTGTAATGAGATGCTGTAAAATAAAATAAAATAAATATTATCCAAACCTGTATCATAATTCAGAAGAAATTTTTAAATATTTTAATCAATTTTCTCTTATGGTTACAAGTACTAGAAACTATAAAACAACCTACATACCCTTAAACATTTTCCTCTGGAGAAAAGATGGCAGAAGCCAAGTTTTTAAAAGCCTTTGTTATAACATTCCCCAGTTCTGACCATCATGATTTATCTATTATTTTCAACAAAAGCACTTAACTGTGTATGCCCTTTTGTTTGGCTTATTTATACTTTTCTGCAGTAGGCTAAGGAAGCAATTTTCAAGATCACATTTTTTGAGTTGTTTTGTTTCAAAATGGAAATAATTGGACTGTGATGAATACAGACTGCTAATAACTTCCACTATTACATTTAAAGAAGAGATATCATCTTACCCAGTGAGCTATTATTCAGGACACTCTCCAAATACTTGACCATTGCCTCAATATCACTGTCCTGTGGATAAATGAAATAAGGAATATCATTAGTGTGAGCACAAACTTAACTGTAAACACTATGTACCAGAGGTACGATCCCACAAACATAAAGGATATTACTTATACCCATGAATATCAACACTAGACTACAAAGAGTCGACATTGCTCAGGACTTTTTCTGTATTTTCTTCTCCTAAAACACCAGGCTTGGGAATGATGTTATATACAAACAATTATTTATGTCAGATTCCTTGCAGAACACAAGCGTGTAGAACAGCTGTGCATGGAGTTTAAAGAAGACATGTTTACTGTGGAGGGTGGTGTGCAATCCCTGAAAATACACTAGCATTTTATCATCTTTTAGTCCTGGAATATCTAAAACATATTACATTGAAAACGGCAAGTATGTACTTTTTAACTATGCCAAAATTTCTTATGTTTATCATAGCTGCCCACTGCAAATTAATGCTTATATTTCATGTAAGTGTATCTACTTACATAACTAGTAATGACTAATTGAAAAAAAAAATTATTAAGAAGAGATTTTAGCAGTTTTCTATTTCAAGTACTCTGTTACCAGACAGATGATTAACAGTTTTGCCATGATATCTTTCGTGTGAAATGCTATTTGTATACACAGATGAAATTTATAGATCCGGCCATTAAGCAATGATTGTGCTCCAGGAAGTAGATTGCAATTTTATTAAAGTCCAAGAGAAACTTGGACTCTTGAGTTTCTAGAGGCTGCTGCCATATCACATTTGACAACATGGCATTTCTTGACTATTTAAAACTGAAAGTCAAAATCTTGACCTTGCTGAAAAATCTGCCAAAAATCTGTATTTTAAAAAATATTGAGGACCATAAATATGGTTTTAAAATATAATACACTGGAATAAAAATAAATAATAGACCTCTGCTTCTACAACAGACAATCTGCTTTATATTTCTTTGTGATCTTACTCAAAAATGCTCATTCTAAGTTTCTCAAACTAAGGAAGTGCCAGTACACCTTAACAGGATAACAATAATTGTTGGCAATGACTATTAGCTGGTTACCTTTTGATGCAAGTGAGAGCTGTTATGGATGAGCATGATCTAACTTCTTATCACCCTAAGTTGTCTCATGGGCTTATAGTTGAAACAGGTTCTGCTATTTTTAGCTGAGGTCTGCAAGATGGGAATCAGCTTCTTGGTTGGCCATTTCAACAGATAACCCAAAGGCTTGTAGGTCTGACGGAGACTCTTTGCCCTTTTGGAGCAGCCTGTGGAGGTCCTGGCTGGAAAAAGTCAGCACCAGGGTTTCCAGTTCTGCAGCCCATCCAAAGTGCCTGAGTTACCTCAGATGATCAAGTTAATCTGAACCTGCTTAACTGGGGCTTTTGCCAGTTAGCAGTAAAGTGCTCGGGAAATGCTGCAGAATGTATTACATTTATATATAAAATATATACTGAATATTGAATTAAGACAGACTTAATATTACAGACATAATTCCTCTGTATTTGTAAAAGAAAAAAAAAAGAACCTTTAGGATTTCATTAAAAAGTTATTAAATATTTTTCATTCAAAACTCAAATTTTATAATAGTTTTCTGCTAATATAAATTTGTAATTAATTTTATTTTCATTATCGCTAACAGTTAACTGCACATCTATAGACAGACAGACAGAAACATGGTAAATGGCCACATATAATACTAGTACAATTCCTTTAATAAAACCTGGTTTTCATTTTCAATGGGGTAAAGACTGTAATTCCCAAACCTCTGACTTCTCACAACAGGACATCGTATTTACTCCAAATATCGCAACAAAGCTGATTTTTTCTCATTACACCGTAACACAAAAGATACACGTTCACCACTTCCATCACCACTGGTTTTCAGGGAAACTAGCTGGCTGAACTTGGCTATCTTGAAAGAAAATTTCAGTGAGGAACAGAATGTGGTTTCACACAGCTGTAAATAGTTGAATAAATAGTTAATCCGTTTACACTGAGGTAGAAACTTCCTATGCCTTTTGTCCGCCTGGGTTTAGCAATCCAAGAGGATTTTAGCTGTTTTATTTAGCATGTTTATCTATTTAATATATTTCTTTAATGTTTCTCTTTTTTGCAGAGAAAGCAAAGCAAGGGACTCTGACAGATTCACAGAAGAGAGACACGCTTACACGTAAGAGCCAGCGTGGATGAATGCTTGCACATTTCAAATTCAGAACCAACGAAACCCTTTCTAACAGCAAAGGTGCATGTTAAGAATCCAGTGGAACATTTTTTGGGTGAGAGCACACAGACCACCCACAGCTCCTGGAGCTATGATAACTTATGCCAGCTGATCACATCAGCCACATTAGTAGACTTTGTCAGAATGAAGATAGTGAATTTGCTATTAGTGTCACTAAAAAAAAAAAAAAAAAAAAAAAACAACACAAAGAACAAGGTGATAAACTGCAGTAGAAAGCATCTATTAGCATCTCAGGTAAATCAAAGCAAATGAAGGCTTCTCTGTGCACTAACTTTTCAAGGTAAAACCTCTCCTAAACTTCATATTTTTAAATTTTTTTTAGAAACACTTTCTCATTCTCTTTCATGTTTTCCCCCTAACTAGAAACCAGTGTTCCTAGAAAAAAACATGTAGAAAAGAGCCATTGGCTTGAAGAGCTAAAAGTCTGGAAAAATAATTGGCAAACTGCTGCTTGAAATCTGGCAATCTGCATTTCTGCTCCAAAAGAGAGAAACCACAGACACTAAACTCCAATGCTACAACAAAGATGAGAGGTCCAGATGTGCTTAGGGTCTGAAATTGGGGGTAACCCCACATCTGCAACTGGACAATGTCGCTGAAAACACATAGGCTGTATTGAAAGATATCAACATGGCATTAACAGTTGTCTCAGCTCCCATCCTAAACCTTTAAAATTATACCATTTCAGTTCCTAACTCTACCTTCTTGACTGAAGAGGTGTTGCATCCCACGTAAGGGCACTACTTCTCAGTCTGTCTTGACATCTGTGGGAGCCTAATATAGCTTCAGTAAATAGTTCAGATGTCTTTCTACATCATGCACCCTAATGTGCTGTTCCATTACATGACTTTTTGACCCCACGCTACTGCACGAACATCAGAAAGTTTTTTAATCATTGTTTGAAGTAATGGGGTCACTAGGGAGCACAGCCAGATGCAGCATTTCTGCACTCTCTGCACAGAAGTAACTAGTAAAGCAATCTTGGCATTAGAAAATTGAAAAATTTGCACAAATTAGGAAGGTAAATATTTTACAAGTCCTTATCCTGTATTGCAGTGGAATGACTTCTTTATTAGCACACACCTCCAAAAGCTTAATTTATGAAGGTATTTTTGAAGAAAGGGTTTAAGACTATGAATCTCATCATAGAAATAGGAGTAGGAGTTTTGGTATTAAGTAAATGACTGCAGAAGCAAACCCCTGCTATATACTAGCAAGATCAAACATATTCTGGTAGTTTTTGAAGCTTATTATTAATACTGAGCATGATCCCACCTACCTTTGAGTGGGATTCATCTCATGTAACTTGACATCCAGAATGAATATGGCCCATGCATGCTAATAACTGTAGATCCCTTTATAATCACCAGGGAGACAATGACCTCTCAGCATATTTCATCTAACCTACATTAGATGCTTGCTTACTTCTTACTGTACAAATTTTCCATTCAGTTACTTCAGATGTAGCTGTCCAGACTGCACAGCTAAGTTCAGTCTGCTTTGACCTCAGATTTACTGCTGACTTTTTTACTTGACAAAGGGAAAACTGAAAATTATGCTCACTAGCCAAGAAAAAGACAAGGTGATTATGTCAATACCCAGAAACACACTTCTGCTTTATCTAAGGTGCTAGGGCCAACGTGAGAAAAAACACAGACAGACAATCAGTTTCTTTGATAAAGGACATCCTAAAAGGCAAAAGGTCACAGGGGGTGCTTCCCAGTCAGTCTGTGCATGCCAGTTCGCAGAGGGTTAATTCTCTGTGTGCACACAGACTGCTGGTAGATAGAAGCCTCAGAACCATCAGGGGCTGGATTCATACAAGAGGTGCCAGTGGGACAGCTCTTTCAGCCCACGGTGATGGTTCTTGTCTTCACTGAATTCTGAGTCACTGCAAAATGAGGGAATGTCACTGCTCAGATATGACTGCCAACACCTGATTTATTCTGCATTATTGAGAAATCTATTTTTATCTTCTGCCCTTCGTTAATTCTAAGCAGCAGTCTGCCTGTTCAAAAACACTATTGATTGACACTTAATGATACCATCAATGAAAGTTGAATGAAAATTTTAACAGGCATTCTAAAAAGAAAAAAAAAATATCTCAGAGTCTGATAAAAGTGAGCAATAATTTATTTCCAAGACTATCTTGTGGTGGACTTTCTGGGCAACAGATTGTTTGCATGTGTATGTGTTGTGGGTAAACACAGACCAGCAAACTGAAAAAAGCGTTGTCTTAGATATTACACTGATCGACAATTGGCTAATAATTTCTTTAGACTAGCACTGTATCAACTGAGCCTGAATTTTAAAACATCCTGTGTGTTTCGTTTGAAAGCTCGGGTAACATTTCTAGTTTGAATGAAGGTCTTTCTGAGTAAACTTCAAGTTTAACTGGTGAGAGAATTTCAGGACTCCTCACTACCATGGTAGAAGTAGAGTTCTGATTTCTCAGACAAATGTTTTATTTTTGCCTTAAAAACCACATCTTAAAGAAGCTATTAGTACAAAATTTTCAAAAATCAGTACAAGTTACTTATAATTTAGTGAAAAGTATTAGCATATGTGGTTGGTTCCCTAAAATGCAAAAGACATCACATTCTGTTCTGCAAAATTTGCACATGAACCCAGAATAACATATATGGTACTAAGCAGAATCAGACAGTACCCTTCAGAGGCACTGTATGCAATGCTTTAAGCTGATGGCCCAGGGGAGAAAAGAATTGTTCCTGAATACCTCAGAAAGATCCATTTGCAGAACTGACTTGGGCATTTAAGTTTATTGATTTCACTGAGACTTGATCACTGTAGACAAGATTCATCTCAGCTCATTCTGATCAGATCTAAATTAGGTGCCTTTTCCAATAATCTTCAACCTTCTTCATACTGCAATCCCTAAGACTTTCTTGTGGCAGCCTCATCTGATAAAGCTACTTTAAGACTTCCAATAATAAGTTTTCTCTTCACTGACACTTTCCGAGATACTTGAGAAAGCCTACAGATTTGCTGCTTAAGTCTTGCAGTTGTTTAGGCTCACAGTTCATCACACTGTCCTAGAAAATATGTCTAATAGAGGCGGGAAAAAGTGGCAACTAGAGGTGCCCATATGTCCCTGGGAATTAGAGCTGGAACTTAGACCTTATGCTTGAAGTACACCTTCAGCTTTAACTTATTTTACCCATAGCTAACACGTGAGAGAAACCCACTCTGAATGTTTTACAGTCACAAGGAAGTTTACTGACAACAATCTGCCTTATGGCATTCATGGGAGTGTTATCCTTAATCTTAAAGGAATGCAAGAATCTCATCAATGTCTCAGAAGAATTACATACGCATACATGTATAATTCATGATATTGATATACACACACATTCCTAACAAAACAAAATTTCAGTAATGTCAGTAGGACAAAACCTTGGAAGGAGCTTAATCTTCCCATGGGCATCAAGTGTATACTGTTTTCCCAAAGGTCACATATACCTGATGATTTGTCTTAGAGACTGTCTGTGATGCTTCCACATCCTCTTCCACTTCACTGCCTTCTGAACAGGATTCAAACTCATCATTATAATATTCTTCTGCAATTTCTGGGTCTTCAGGGATCTCTAAAGGTAATTATGAGTTTAAAGTATACAGATAGACAATATGCATGATGTTAAAAAGATAAAATGGATTTTATACCACCCATGTTATGTCACAAGCAATGTATTCTGTAATTGAAATCAAGGCATAGATTGGCATAGATTCTCAGATTAAAATGTTCATCTTTGATGACATGATAAGCAATGTTAAAGTTGTCTCTGGTAAAAGATCAGACACTCATCACATCTAAATTAACAACCTCGAAGGATCTGTATTGATTTTGGCCTGAAATCACTGAACCATAGAATAATTCAGGCTGGAAAGGACGGTATGTGATCATCTAGTCAAAGAAGGGTCAACATTGAATTGAATCCAGCTTTCATGGGCTGAAATTATGCCCCAGTTTAGTTTTCCCTAAGACACTTAACCAATGGCAAGTACAACTGCTAAGCTAAAATGGAAAATAATATATACCAGGCACATGTTTAAAAGACAAAAGAAATAAAATCTTTATCTTTTTCCAAACTTCCCTGAAATGAAAGCATAACAAAATAAAAGAAACCGTTGTAAAGTCAAGCTACGCATACTTGGATGTCACGCTCTCTCAACTTGTTACTATTACAAGTTTAGTAATAGCAGTGAGTACAATATTAATATAGCCAATGAGCCTATGAAGTACTGTAATTGTTATTAAAACTCACCATATTCATCACAACATGAAAGATGACCCAGCCGCTCTGCTCCGGGTGAAATCCTTTCGCATCCCAGACTCCATAAGTAAGTAAGGAGTTAGTGAAATGGCTCGAGGCCTGATTGTGCCTGCTTCGGCGAACTGCCCTTTTGCAGCAGAAGCACCTAAGCATATGCTGAATTTTAAGCAGAGGCTGGACTGTGGTGACTATCTGAATAAAAAGCAGAATCTCCACTTTTCTAGACAGAAAGCTGGAAGGCAAAGCATTGCCCACAGGAGACACGGGTCAGCAGCAGAAGACAAGGGAGCCCACCTCGCCAGCCATCCCATCAGTAGCTCTAAGCATTCATGGAGAGATGTATTCCAGGAGAGCTAATCCCCATGCTTCAATTTTAGGCAGTCTCTTACTGACTTATCAAGATATGTTACATCCAAGCCCAGGAACAATATTTTTATACTACCAGTTTTCAAAAAGTAAATGTTTGGTATACAACTTTGCTTGGTATTATTACAAGAAATGTTAGTTGAAGATAAAAAATGCTTAATATTCAGATGTCATAAATCACCATAGTCCTAACTTTAGCTAATGCTGATTTCCACCATTCTTCCCAATTAATTATATCACTTTAAAGAAATACAAACCGACTTATCTTAAATATTGCTGCATTGAAATAAATTAAATTCAAACAATACAACATTAAAGATGCTTAATAGTTTTTTTTTTTTTACTTGTTTCACATGGATAATAAATGCAAAATGATTTTAACAATGGAATACAATTAAAATCCATTAAAAGACGTTGGAGTTTGGGCAGGAGGAATAATTCCAATCTTTAAGGCATAAGAAAGAGAACTCAGGAAAAAAGGGAAAATGTCTTTATCTGCAGCACTAGGTGGTTGAAGCTCTCCTGTTGAGATATGATGTCTACTGTCTCTAAAGTATTATAAAAAATACTTCCTTTTTCTATAAACTTGATTTATGTCCAAATTACTGACACATTTTCATTCAGGTTTCTCTGTTTTAAGATATTCATGGAAGCTGATAATAGCACCATGCTCCACTGCCACAATTTCCAATCCTTCCTGTTTCTATTTTTCATCTAACTTAGTTTGGGGAAGAAAAAAAAAGAAGAACCTCTCCAACCCAGAAACTTTTTCCCACAAAAGAAAGCATTGTGTTTAATTGTTTGATTTCTCCAAAGTGCCATTTGTCAGAAAAGCCTAACACTTCATCTTAAAAATATATAACCTTTAGTATCATTCCTTTTTAGCATGGAAAGAACACTTCTAAATGAAGATACATCTCCTTTTCCAAACAGAGTGAACATCAATTTTTCTTTCTTGCAGACAGGTTGTCATTCCTGTAATTAGTATAATTTTGTTAGGTTCATCTGCATTCTACCTATGTCTATATATGCATTCAAATACATATGAATCAGCCTATTTATTATGTTATAATGCAAACATTGGTCTACACTAGTGTTTTCTGAGTTGTTTTCTCCTCCCACATTCTTCATTTGTTTACTGTTGTATTAAAAAACACAATCCTCCCCTTCCCAACCAAACAAGGTATTAAAATCATTTTACTCATAAATATAATTTCCAAATGTCTGCTCTGGCTACAGTAAAGCTCTATACCTTGCGAGTAGCCAGAACTGCTGTTGCCTCCTATGGAGAGGCTGGCACTGGACGTATCCCACTACCATGCCAGCTTTTACAGCCTTGTCAGAATTGCTCACTTTACCATTTGTAAAATTGTTTTGACAGCTGTTCATAGATGGCCAGTTAATCCGAGCTCAGTAACACAATTTTAAATGCTAGTTCAGACACTAGAGGTGTTTCAGGGTACAGATGTTTACTGGCCCTGATTCAGAAACTATTCCAAGTGACATTTCTTAAAGAAGACAGCATGTACAGTGGATGGGAACTTGGGATTTAGGTACTACAAGTCTTTAAAATATCCTGGGTTTCTGACAAGCATCTTTCTTTAAAGAATGCACCTCCAAAAGATCAACACATTCATTTAGACTATCTGGTTCCATACAACAGTTCCTTGAGTCCTACAAAGTAGAGCCGGCTCCCAGTCATCCATGTGCTACAGATGCAGAATTAATTTGAGTACAGAACAGCTTATTTAGTTGAGACTCAGGATCAGCCTAATTTCAAGAACAGGTAAACTGGCCTTAGCGTAGCAGATACCATGAATCAACGTGGCGAGCTGTACCCATGCTGGCTGAGTAAACTCTAAATGCAGGTAACTGGAGCGAGCTGGGAGAGGAACAGAGTTGCATTTAAGAAGGTCCTGACGCCGTCTGCCACCCGTTGGACCCCCTTGCTCACACTGCACTCCTGACCTGCCTGAGCACAGCGAGTCCAAATCACCCTGTTCCTAGTGTGCTACCAAGTCACCCTGTGCAGCTTACACGTGGTAGGCAGGGACTCTGCTTTCCTCGCAGACCCTTGGAAAAGAAAAGTGACGGTAACATCCAATACAAAGGTTTCTAATACTATGCCAGCTGGCAAAGCACACAGCCTGATGGCTGCAACACCATTATAATATAGATGTCCCTCAGATGCCCGTTGTCCCTCTGATACAGCATTATTTACACGCTCCTTATGGAGCAGAAAGGAAAGTCTCTACTGCTACTTCTGCTCCCTCATGCCCCCTGATCTGTCAGCTGATCTCTGAAAATATATTACGCTTTAACTAGCTGTGCATATTGCACTGAGGCCAGTCACAGTACCTTTTATTTGCTTACAAAGCACTTCATTCAGAACAAACTCAGCTATTACTTTTGTATTGCTAGGCGGCTTCGGCATAGCATTGAGACACTTGATATTTGCTATTAGATATTTGAAAGAAAATGAGCTCTGAATAATAATATTACTCTTTCAGTTTCTTTCTATATATAACCATGACACTAATAGTGGAAGGAAGGGTAAAAACCCGTTATCTAAAAAATCATAAAAGCATGGTTATTTCCCAGGAAGACAAGCTATACAGAAAACAAAGGAATGCAATACTTGTAATATTTTGCTTAAATCCACCAAGAGCTTGTCTCAGGTAGCATGGTAACTTGGCAACAACAGTTTTCTCCAAAGAGATGAAAATACTTTGATAAATATCTTTAATTTTCTCTTGCCTTGAAGTCATAATTGGTGCATTGATGCAGCACTCTCACATTCCAGTGCATAAAGAAGACAATAAGTAAGGCCCCTTTTATTTAAAAAAAAAGGAGAAGAAGAAAGAAGAAAACAGAATAGTATAACATACATTCGTTTTCACCACCTACATTCACAGTAACAAAGTCACACTTGGCTCGTAACGACTAATCTACTTTTTTAATCCCAAGGCTTCATCGCGTCTCTGGAAGAAGGCAGATTGTCTCAGCTGTCACTTTTCCATCTTAAGGAAAAAACTGCTATAATTCCATGTAGCTACACTCCTCCGTTTGCACAGTACCACAGACAGCAAAGTGAGGAGCAAATCATTCGACTGTTCTGACAAACATATACCGTCATGAGATATAATGCATTCTTAACATTATGGTGACATGAACCAAGACAGTAAAAAACAGTGCTGCCACATCTCTGCCACCACACACTGCCACAGAGAGCTGGAAAAATTGAGAGGAGGGGCTAGGACACAGACACTTGCGCTGCCCCCCCTGCAAGGCTTTGTACATCAGCCACGCTGGGGACTGAGGCAAGAGACAAGCGTTCCTCCACAGTTTTGCTTCTGCATTGCTCTGGGCTGCAAGGCAGCCCACTGGCCGGACCTCATCAATAACACAAAGGTGCCTATGGTCCTTTCTTTCCTGTGGAAACTCATCAGCAAATTGCAGTTTGATCCCATCTGAGCAGGAGTTCCCTACCGAAACGAGGATCACAGCAGCCCCTGGGTGCAAGGAGGGGCTGGGAGAGCAGGGTCTGGTCAGCCCTAAGAAGGGAAGGTAAAGGGGAAACCTTATTGCTGTCTATGACTATCTGCTCAGAGGATAAAAGGAAGGTGGAGCCAGACTCTTCTCAGAGGATAAAAGGAAGGTGGAGCCAGACTCTTCTCAGAGGTGACAGGGATACGACAAGAGGCAACAAACATCAGCTGGAACATCATAAATTCCAGTTTGACATTTGGAAAAGAATTTTACAATGAGAGTGATCAAATACTGAAACCGGCCTTAAAGAAGCTGTAGGATCTCAGTCCTTGCAGGTGTTCAAGGCTTGACCAGACACAGCCCTCCGCAACCTGATCTGATCAGACCTGTTTTGAGCAGGGGATTGGACTAGACTGTCAGTCGACCCTTCCAACCCAAATTATTTTATGATTCTGTGG